ACGAGTTAGATATAGGACAAAACCAACTTTTTAGATTTCATCGTTAAACATGATAAAGCCAGTTATAAAAGTTAATATTCAGGTAACATACAGTCATTCGTATAGAGATTCATTGGCTAGCCATGGTTGATTAAGTTAATACCCTTTGACAGCGAGAAATGATAAGCACCAACAAATAATAATAACTAATACCCATTGTACAAGAAATAGCTATCGTACTTCTGGCGTCTGGAACGTTGGATACTAGGTCAGAATCTCATCAGGAACATCAACACTCATTGGGGTGCATGTATGTCTAGTTGATGAATCTTGTATTCCTCTACTTGCAACAACCAAGTAAACTATTGTTACTGTTTCGTTGATTTTCCTAAAGGGCACTAACTGCTTCGAAATATATGGCTTTTTACAAGTGAAAATATGATGTTTGTAGATAAGAATGAAATATGGGTAGTCATATGTCTTTATTCATATATAATTTTTTCGCATGAAATTAAGCGAACCCTATTAGTTTCCATATTATGGTGAAATAATCTTCATCATTGATATAAGAGTAAAACTTGGGCACTGTGGTCAATTGTAATTCTATTTTAGTCAGTTTATTAGAAATATCACACAGTGAAACAGTATCATTTACTGGATAACCGCGTTTTGGACAATTGCAGATGATGTAAAAGCGCAGTGTGCTCTAACACTGAAACGAAAGAAGAAAACGAAATCTAATCTGCTCAAGTCAGAGAGAGAAGCTCTCAGAAACCTTCAAAATGATAACAATATGGTAATTAAATTTTGAGGGGGTTGTGGAGATTTGGAAATATTTCAAGTTGTTATTCATCGAAGACTGACATCAATTGGAGGAACAAAGGAAACCTGGGAGCACTGGACAGCTGTTTCGTCCCACTTGCATGGGACTCCTCACCAGTGCGCACCCACGACTCCACCAGCAGGGATCGAACCCGCGACTTTCAGGTTCCGCGACCAGCGCGTTACCATTGAGCCACTGGGTATATCGTGAGCTAACAGAAGTTGGAAATATGGACCATCGGATTCTGACCCAGTGGCTCAATGGTAACGCGCTGGTCGCGGAACCTGAAGGTCGCCGGTTCGATCCCTGCTGGTGGAGTCGTGGGTGCGCACTGGTGAGGAGTCCCATGCAAGTGGGACGAAACAGCTGTCCAGTGCTCTCAGGTTTCCTTTGTTCCTCCAACTGATGTCAGTCTTCGATGAATAACAACTTGAAATATGGTAATTGCCAAATCGGATAAAGGCAACTCAACAGTTGTAATGAACAAATTTGACTACATCTATAAAGTGAACAAGCATATAGAAACAGGAACACATATAAGGAAATTAAGAAGACAGTGGACACTATTATGAATAAGGTCAAGAAATCGACAGGGGATCTGATACACCAGATGAAGCCATTTCTAATTGAGTCAAACTGGTTTAATTTAACGCCGAAAACAAAATCCCAGTACAATGTTTAGTACTATTAAAGCTCATAAGCCAGGTCGTCCCATCAGGCCTATAGTAGATTTTAGAAACAATCCAACTTAAGAGTTGTCGAAATGTTTACCAATGGTGCTAGGCCCAATAAGAAATCATTCAAAGTCTCGAATTACTAACTCTTATGACTTAAGGCGTAGATTAGATGACACACACTAAAACGACAGTGAATAACTGTTAGTTTTGACACAACTAACAAGCTTCTACACTAATATACCGATTGACATTACTCACTCTAGAGGCAGTTAGAAATGGGCTTAAAGGTGATAATGGGCTTACGCATCGAACTAAGGTGCCGATCGAGGAAATCATATTAGGAGTACGATTGGGCCTAACACTACAGTCTTTAAGCTTCAAAATGAAATATATAAACAAATTCGTGTTGCCATGGCATCATCAATATCCCCTATCGTCGCAGATATATTTATGGATAGTTGGGAACAGGCAGCCCTTCAAAAATGTAGTCCTACTTCAAAAATATGGTTCCGATATGTAGATGATACATTTACGGTACTGAAATCGGAACACATCAATAGGATCTTGGCACATATTAATTCAGTAGTCAATGCAATCTAATTTACCTGTGACTAAGATAGTAGTGAAGGTGAGTTGGCAATGTTGGATTGCAAGATTAAACGAACACAAATAGGAAATCTAGAGACTAGACTACTTAGACTTCGAATCCTCCCACCCCATTTCACTAAAAGTACGCCTAGTTAAATGCCTAAGTGATAGAGCAAAAACGCTTACTAGTAGATCGGAAAATCTGTGACAAGAAATTGGACACATCAAGAATACCTTACGTCTCAATAATTACCCAACAAAACTTACAAATAAATTCATAATAAATCGAAAGAAAAATGTTGGCAGTGGTAGTAGTAGTAATACAGGTATTGTTAACAATAAACCCACTACTAGTGGTAATAATAGCGACAGGGTTAAGAGAGAATTCAAAGCCTCTGCTGTGTTACCATACGAGGAAGGCACCTCAGAAACATTACGAAGAATTCTCAATACGGTTGTATGGGATGAAAGTGGCATTCAAACCAACAAACTCATTTAGACACAAGCTTTGTAAATTAAAAGATCCTATCGCTTCAATTAAGCAATCTGGTTTACTAGATCTCTTGCAATGATTCCAAGGTCTGTTACATAGATGAAAGCAGTCGACTAGTCAGGGTCGGTTAGATTAACAGAGTACAAAAACTGAGCTAAATCAAGATTAGTAGATGGTAATAAGATAAGAAATTTAGAGAAAAGTTCGTCTGTAGCTCTGCATGCGATGACACACAATCACACAGTAGGGTGGGATAGGGCAACAGTGTTGAAAACTAACTTAGTTGGGTTGAGGGCAGGAGAGATTGATAAAAGAATCTTTGTATTGTCGAATCAACCCGAAATACATTCAGTAAGAGGAATGAATGTGCACCTGTCCCAGATATATGGAAACATCTACTACTCTTGTCATGACGACGGAGAGAAAATTAGGAATAATATAAAGTCTGTCACGAAGTTGTTGTGGAATTACCTGATGTGAATGTGGACAATAAATTTTTTTGTTCAAAATGTTATTCAGTGAACGCTACTGAAATTTCAAGTAAACAGACTAAAATAGCACAATCATAACTTTCATGATTTAGAACCTTATTTCCACTTTTTCAACTGGTAAAGAATACTAACCTGATTTACACAAAGTTGAATGTGTTTGTTAAAATTTTTACTATACATCCTGTTCACTAAAACAATGTAGGCATAAAGGAAACGAAGAGGAAAATTTCTTTTTCGAATTATTATTTTCTCCCAATGATTGATAAAATACACCATTCATCGCATAGTAAATTTGTCGAACATTTAGCTCGTCATTAGAGGGTATGATGAAACCAGACGTTCTACTGAAAGACTCCGTTAGATTACAACATCACTTCTGAATAAGTAGAACATGAGTAATGTGTATTATTTATTAGCGCTTGTAATCTCGCTTTGTTATTCTGGTGTATCACGCAGCATGAAAGTATCCTTTGCTGAACAACGTTTATGTTGCGATTTGAAATCCGTAATCACATTTAAACGACATATTCTGTTCGAAACAATAATGTATGCCTGACAAATGTAATTTTCTTTACTTTGAAGCTGTAATATCACTGCTAAGTTGTTTTGTTTAAGAAAGATTTATATTCCTTGGAGTTTTATTCAATAAGAGGCTATACATGATGGAAAAAAGTAATCGAAAATATGACCTGTTATCGGTTAAGGGGATCCATAAGGATGAAGGATGTTTAGTATCGTTACTTACTCAACCTTCTTGTCTTGACTTTAAGTTATTAAGTCTATCATTCACCAGTTTCCAAAATTTAGTGTTATGATACATCATGTGTTTACGAACACTAAACTGATTCTTCTTGTTAAGTATTAACTCAGTGAAAGACAATACTAAGCCTGAAACTAGATGTTTCTGGCTTCTACATGCTGTCAAACATTTAATTAATTATGCATGTATATCAGTCGTCTGTTATGTGATATACGATTACAAGCATATTCGTGAAAACACGGGAAGGGGAATGAGGTGCCAAATTTTAGAATTAGTGTTTTTTCCTTCAGCAGATTGGATTATTGATATCGGATGATTATTGAAGGTGAAATCAAGATGTGGATCATCAGCAACCTCCAAGTTTCTGACCTGGGACTCTAGCGACTGAATTTCAACACGAAACCGCCGATGAGATCTAAATTTCATTCCAGTCACTAAGGGTTTTGCCTAATTGCTACATGAATTTGATAAAAAAATTAAAATTTCTGCCTAACGAGAACTTGTAATCCTAGTTCAAATTGAACCTAATTTGAGAAAGGGATTGTGAACCTGATTATCGGTGTAACCATCTAAGATAACCCTGGTTTCGAAGACTTACATTTCTGATACTGTGTGATAATTGAAGGTGGGATAAATTAGCGATTTATTAATCTGTGGTTATGTGCTTTAAATAACGTTTGCATTTTTTAATGCAGATATCATTTTAATGTCAATTTTGTCCCTTTGAAATAGCAATGAAATCCTAAGCTTCAGGATAAAAGCAACAAAGATGTCAAGACTGATGCTCATTTTATCAGCTTATAGCAGTTAAAGCTTATGAAGATTCGACTGGTTCATTATTTCTTGGTGTTTACTCATATGGACTACTATTTGAGACCATTTAAGTCGATTTTCTTAATACTTTTGTCTCAACTAAAATCTCAGATCACATTTTATTCAATCTCTTTCTGACTGAATATAAATGCCGGTGATTGATGTTGCTCCTAAAGAAAATCCATAAGGTTTTCACGGGTAGTTACAAGTTATAACTCACAAACCCTAACACTGGCAAAAACCTCATCAGTTTATTCTTGCTATATATCCTCAATGCTTAAGATAGTTTGAATCCTAAATGATTGATTATATCAACTTTTATTCATTTAAACAGTAAGAATAATATCTAAAAATAATAATGACAATTAACACTTACCGAATAACATATTCACTATAGATGGTGGTAAATTCAATGTCACATGTAACAGAGCAGCAATTGCTTGTGAACCAATAAAAAAATAAGCAACTGGAACATTTTTTCCACTTCCAGCTGTTTGTAATGCTCCACCAAGTAGGATACAATTAGCTAACCATGTTAAAATAATCAATGTACCAGTTAAACATAATACTGTCCAATTTATTGATTGTTCATTAGACTCTATAGTTGAACGAAGTGTACGAATTACTTTTATACTTGTATTGACTAGATATTCATTCACAAAATTTTTATGAGTGCTTGTAAAACTATAAAAATCATTATTATTAATTATATGCTTAGTATTTAGTAAATTAGTACTGACTGTTGTCATTAATGTATCATTATTTATTGGTGGTTTAAATAACTCCATTAGACTGTTATCAATACTTTTGGTTAGTGAGTATTTTTAGTATTGTAATCAACTGTTTAATTTGTACATATGATTGAAGTGGATACCAATAACGACTGTAATCTAACTTAAATATAATGGTAATAATTTTGATTGGTTAATTAATGGATTTCAAGGTCACCAAATCTTGTTTAACACCTGATTGGTTTATTGTCAATAACATTAGTATTTCGTAAGGAAAGTGTTATTCCTTAATAATGACAAGACATATTTATTTACACTTGTATTTGTGTAGAAAATAGTACATTTGTAAATTTGTTTGTAATTGTAGAATTATTCAATGTTTTTAGGCATATACTGGAGTGTTTAAGACAATATTAGTAAAAAGAGTATTTCATGCAGTTTTTTTTGTGAACATATTTAAAGATATACCAGACAGTAGATTTCGCATAGATTTTGGTGGCTCCTTCGTCTCAACCTCGTGTTATTTCAGGGCCATGGTAACAAAATGGATTGCACAAAACGCGTAGGTAAACAGACTTGATATCCTGGTGTATACAGAAGATATGGTTAAAAACGTTCTGAACAATCACTTCTCACTTTATATATCATGTCGTATGTATTATGTATCAATCATGTATGATCTGAAGGAACGATATATTCCAAAACATAAGTGTTTATTGATCTGAGTTCTGTTTTTGATAACCATACCAGTAGATGTTAGCACTCAAGTCTTATCAGTGTTCTACTGGTATGATATATGTACTTACCTCCACAGAAGCAACTTAATTTACATATACACTTGAATATTACTGTCCTATGGGTTTTTAGTGGAACATATCAGTTCAGTAACACGTCATCATTTCATTCTCTTCTCTACAGTCTTCTCAAACTGGATCCACGACCACTAGCAAAACTTTCAATTCCACCTCACACCATCTCCTCCATGTCACACTCAACTCACACGCCCAAATCGTCCTTTCCCATTTGGATTCCACTCGACAGCCTGGTCTGGCCTGCTGTGTCATATCCCTGAATGGTTTTCTCAGTATATGCACAATCCAATTCATCTCCACTCTCTTCTGCATATTTGTTGGGCGATCGGTTCTTGGTTGGTTGGTTGGTTCATTGCCAGCCAGCCGACAACCAACCAACCAACCAACCAAAGTTCCTTGTCGATTATTCTTATCATTCTCGCCATCCATCTGATCTTCCCTGTCAGTATCGAGTGAGCGTAGGTGGCAGGTGTTGATGATGTATGTATGTAGTTTGTTGGAAATGCTTTTCGTAACGCGCCACCAAGTCTCTCAACCACCACACTGAAGCACTCACCTGACTGATAATAGTGTTGAAAATCTGGATGTTGTTTACACTTTATGCTGAGTGGAGTGCAGTGGGGTGCAGTAGATTTCCACAGTAATTAGATTAGATTAGTGCAGGTTTGTTTTGCATTATTTCCGATCCTGACTACTTTGACATCCTCATGTGTGCCACCTCCGCCTGTAGTTGAGAGGATGCTGCCTCAGTAGGTGTGTAGGTGTGTAGGTGTGTAGGTGTGTAGGTGTGTAGGTAGGTAGGTAGGTAGGTAGGTAGGTAGGTAGGTAGGTAGGTAGGTAGGTAGGTAGGTAGGTAGGTAGGTAGGTAGGTAGGTAGGTAGGTAGGTAGGTAGGTAGGTAGGTAGGTGTGTAGGTGTGTAGGTAGGTAGGTAGGTAGGTAGGTAGGTAGGTGTGTAGGTAGGTAGGTAGGTAGGTAGGTAGGTGTGTAGGTGTGTAGGTAGGTAGGTAGGTAGGTAGGTAGGTAGGTAGGTAGGTAGGTAGGTAGGTAGGTAGGTAGGTAGGTAGGTAGGTAGGTAGGTAGGTAGGTAGGTAGGTAGGTAGGTAGGTAGGTAGGTAGGTAGGTAGGTAGGTAGGTAGGTAGGTAGGTAGGTAGGTAGGTAGGTAGGTAGGTAGGTAGGTAGGTAGGTAGGTAGGTAGGTAGGTAGGTGTGTAGGTAGGTAGGTAGGTAGGTAGGTAGGTGTGTAGGTGTGTAGGTAGGTAGGTAGGTAGGTAGGTAGGTAGGTAGGTAGGTAGGTAGGTAGGTAGGTAGGTAGGTAGGTAGGTAGGTAGGTAGGTAGGTAGGTAGGTAGGTAGGTAGGTAGGTAGGTAGGTAGGTAGGTAGGTGAGTTAAAGAGACAGCTTTCTTCATCACCTCTGTCTTCGCGATATTTATTTGAACGAAGTTACATCTTTCACTGCCTCACCTCTCCTGCCAACTTGTTGGTTATTATGCGTAGATCTTCGAGTTTGTGAGACAAGACATTAGAAAGAAATTATCGTCGGCGAAATCCAAATCTCCTTCCAGGTTCTTTATATTGTTCTAGTCAGCGTATGCCCATATTCTCACAACTCCTCATAGTTTTTTTTGCATGATAGTGTCTAGTCTAGTCAACCACAATCAGGAAGATTATCGGTGATGTGATAGTATGCAGAAACCTTGCATTACTCCTTTCCGTCTTCATTTCGGAGATGGCAATGATTTTTCCAGTGTCAATCACCTGGCACGTAGCATTGCATAACTTACGGCTGCTGTTGAATGAGATTGATGAAGGTTTGTGACACTCCGTTGTGTTGAAGTAGTTGACAAATTATTTCTCGGTCGACGCTGCCGAAGGTCTTTTCAAAATCGGTTAAGCTGAGGTTCAGTTGGTCTGACCGCCACACTATGCTCTGTTCTATAATGATGCATAGCGCTGCAATCTGGTACTCACATGATTTGTTCCTCCTGAATCCACCCAGGCTGTTCAAGTCGTACTATTGAATCCAACGTATCTTTCAGTCTCTCTAGGATGATGCGGCATAATATTTTACTTGGTGTGGACAAATATAGGAGCATGATTCTGCGCCAGTCCTTGGGAATATTTAGGTCTCCCTTCTTTGGGAATCTGACAAGGTAGCCCTTCTTTCAGCCAACCTGCAGGTACCTATCCTTCCTTCCTTCCTTCCGAAGCTTCTGCAATAGTGGTATGAGCGAGTCTGCTGTTATCTCTGCGTCTGTTTTCAGTGTTTCTGGTGGAATGTCATCTGGTCCTGTTGCTTTCACAGATTTCAGCAACTTTGTAGCTTTCAGGACTTCTGCCTTTGTTGGAGGGCCTGCGATCACTGGTAGTTCTGTGGCCGGGCTCCTGGTGGTATTTCTGTACAAGTTGCAGATGGTGGTGGTCGATTCAGGAGTTTCCTGAAGTGTTCTGCACGTTGTTTCATTTGTTCCTTCCTCTTGGTGGTGACTAAGTTTCCCTCACTATCTTTCATTCGTTTCATCTGCATTGGTCTCTTCCCTCCCAGATATTGACCTGGTGATTTGACATAGTGTTGTTAGGTCTCTTCTACCAGCAGCCTGATCTGCTTCACTTGCCAATGTATCGTAGAAGTGTCATTGTCTTTTCTCACACTGTTCTTCACTTTTTGTGCATTCCAGTGTTTTGTAAGTTGCATTCAGTCACTCTTTTTGCTATTCTTCCTTGCACTTGTTCATCATCTTCCTCTTCCTGCACTGTCAGTTCCCATGTTTCCATTGAGATCCATTTCCTGTACAATTTTTTCTTCCTTCCTAACACGGTTATGCAGGCTTCCTTCCACGTCTCTTTAGAAGAGTTCCAGTGTTCTCCCACGGAGATTTCTTCAGGGATGTTGTTCAATACCTCCCATTTTATCCTGATAGCTGACGCGAAAATGTTCTTTTTAGTTTCGTATTTCAGTTTCTATTCTGGGTGTTCAACTTGAACTGTGGTCTATCACCAACTTCTGCGAAGGCTTTCAACGTGATTTTGAAGGTAGGTTCATTGCACTAGATAATGAGTGGTGTGAACCTATATCTGCTCCCCTTCTTCATCTGATTTTGTGTCGAGTTGGCTGTCTCCACTTTCTTCACACAGAGATGAAGTCGATCTGATTTTTAGTGTATCCGGGTGTCTGGTGAAATCGAATCCATGTCGCTACCTTGTGAATATACATGTGTTTGTACGCTCTGCCTCCAATCACCAAAGCATTGAATGCGCAGAAGTCTGCAAACAGTTCTCCATTCTCGTTCATTTCACTGACTGCTTCTCGACCCATGATGGATGAGTTCCGTCGTTATGTGTCTGCTCCCAGTTTGGCATTCACGTCACCCCACCCTTTAGAATTTCGATGTCGCCAACTGAAGTGGGGTCTCGTCCATTACTGATTGTAGTTGTTTGAAGAATTCCCCCTTCTTCTCTTCATCTGCATTATTTGTTGGCGTGTAACGAAAAATTGTGAGATTTTGACCTTTCTTCCTTTTGAGTTGAATCAGTCTTGCTGTCATGATCGTGAAAGAGGCTAGTTACCACTGCATGAGAGCCTTCCACACTCTTGAGGATATCATGTTGGCCACTCGAAAACTCATTGTGCTCGTGGTTGTCGTCTGGTTGGCAATCTCGGAGTAGATTATTGACTCTCCAGTTAAGAGTTTGGACAGTCCACTTCCATTCCATCTTCAGATTTCTCGCAGATTCCTAGCACTTCTATGCTATACCTTGTCATCTCATTTCCAATCTGGGCAGCCTTGCTTGGTTCGAACATGGTGCGGACATTCCATGTCCCCACGTTTACTTTCGCTTTCATCGAGAGAAGGAAGATACATCGCCCAATGGGCTTCCCGAAGGCTTTCACCAACTGGCGTCATTCCGTCTCCCCGATTACAGAGATGAATAAGTTTGTTTTTATTTTTGATACTTTGTCTGTGGTTTCTGAAGCTATTGGGTTGGTTTTCCGGGGTAGAGTTGCTAGCCCTATGTCTAACCTTCCCTTTTTATCCGGGCTTGGAACCGGCGAGTAACCAGTGAACTAGCTGCCTAGGCGAGGTTGAACCAATAACAAAACAGATGAAAAATGTTATGTGATATTGAAGTGGACTTTTGGTGCAAAATGTACATCTTGTTTGTATCCGTCAGGTGCTTCGCTTGAGTTACAGAGTTCTCTACCGTCTGAATGAGCTACCACCAACCATATTACTCTTGGAATTCT